AAACAAGGACCTTTCATGCTCCCCTTGTGCTACGTGTCCGTGCGCTGCTACTTGGCGTAGCGCACGTGCTCGAATAGTAATTGCGGCCTCCCTAGCGTGTAGATGAAGATGACCACTTCATGTTTAGAGTCTAACATGCAAAATTCCAATAAATATTCTAGAAGATTTGTGCTGACACGTTTCAGTCTTTGAGATTACAAATATGGCAAATGGATGGTGGAGATAAGGTGAGGAGAGCAAACCAACCAACTACATGCATGTCATGTGGTGCAATTTAATCAGAGGAGGCGAGTTGGGTGATTAAATAGTTTGAATCTCAAACTTGAAATGTATTGTCCTCAAACCATGAGCCTATTTTTTATCTTATTTGAAGCATTTTAAATAAATACACATAGGTGCATTTTTTTTCTTATATCAAAAATATATTTAGAATGTATTATATCAGCACTCTGGTATACTTTCTCTATGTTTCCATATAAAATGTTGAATTATGTTTTACGTATGTAATGTGTTGGATCATTTTTTAACAAACTATGACGTGTACAAAATCGTAATCCAACAAACATGGTTAGTTATAGTAATCGAAATAAGAAAAATAAACACAAAGGAGAAAGGAAAAGTTACCTGCACCTAAAGGGACGACAATGGCTGCCTATTGTTGATGGACTGCAAAAATTTGTCCAAAGGGCCATGTGATATGTGGAGCTCGTTTAAGCCAGAGCCCATCAGACAAGGCCTGTCTCTCCGATAAGAATAACATGCAGGCGTGGGGGCCCGGCATTATTTGGACCATTCAGAAACCCAGGCCCTTGTCGATTTCAGGCCCAGCATATTTGTGATCCTAAAATACATTGTATAATAAATAAAGAGTTTTGAATAACGGAATGCAATAATCCTACAGGCCGAGAATCTTGGCAGATGGAGATGGAATCAAACCACGTACGTGTGATAAAATTTGGCTGGTATATCGAAAAAAGAATGTTTATGCGACCTGTGTAACCAACCAAGTACCCCTACATTAGTACCACTACACGATTCAGGTTCTTTGGCACTCGGCAGAGGCCAAATTGCACTCGGCAAAACACACGGTAAAAAATTGATCGGCAAAGCCTTCTTTGCCGAGAGCCCCGGGGGCACTCGGCAAAGAAAAGCGACCGTCACGGCATCAGCCCCGTTGACGGTCGCTTTGTCGAGTGTCAACCCTGCAGGCACTCGGCAAAGATTTTTTATTTTTTTAAAAAAAATATTTGCCAAGTGTCCTCTATCCGGCCCTCGGCAAAGATGTTTTATTTTTTTCTAAAAATTCTTTGCCAAGTGTCCCCTTACCGGTGCTCGGCAAAGTTTGAATTTTTTTTAAAAAAAATCTTTGCCGAGTGCCATCTGACCGGCAGTCGGCAAAGTTTGAATTTTTTTTTGCCGAGTACCATGGTCATGACACTCGCAAAGCTGGAAAAATGGTTTTCCGAGCACCCATTTTTTCAGTTTTGCCGAGTGCTGTGACCATAGCACTCGGCAATGGGGTCCTTTGCCGAGTGCAACACTCGGTAAAGTGGCCCAAAACGGTAATTTTTAATTTTTTTTACATTCCATCATGACAAATAAATTCATACAAACATATATCACATATATCTCATCCATCATATATATATCTCATCCATCACATATATATCTCATCCATCCACACATCCATCCGCACATATCACATTCATCACAATATATATCACATATATAATAATAAGTGCTCAAGTCCATCAAAGTCCACAAGTGCATCACAAGTATATTACAAGTCCATCATCAAGTGAACAACAAATGAAAAAAATACAACGTGCACTCATCTCGGCCACTGCGACTATGGTGAAGGCCCAGCTCCATCATTCGAAGGTGCATGAGGTGGATTATTCGAACCACCGTCAGATGGAGACTGCACAAAGAAAAAAAATTTGCATGTGAGACGGGATTATTTGGATAGCTAATCTAGGAAGGTAGAGGCCATATAAGCAAAGCACAAGCGAAAGTAAAAAAACTTTCATACTCACATGAGTAGCTGCAGCTGCAGGACGCGGAGGTGGAGGTGGAACCAACAGCCCAGCTGGCAGAGAGAAGCCCACATGTTGCCCAAGCCCTTATAGGAACTCCGTAATGTCCGTCAGCCTTTGCGCCTAGGCCTGCCGCTCGGCCTGCTCGGCCTCCAGCTGGGCTGCCATCCTCTGGTGCCCGACCTCCAGTTCCTGACGTTGCCTCATTTCTTGTTCCAGCCGGGCCTGCAATATTTTACTCTAATGTTTCAGTAATGCAAAGCTAATTAAGGTGTGTAAAGATCAATATATGACGAGTAAAATAGGAATAACCTCGAGTGCGTCGACCCGGTGCTGTACAGCGGTCGGTCGTGTGCGAATGGCCGGGCTCTCGCTCGTGTTCCATGCTTAGATCTAGGAGAGAGAGGGAGTAGAGGCCGTGTCGATGACGCCGTCGTCAAGCCAGAACTGCCCATGCTTCTTGCCTTGCCCCACCCTCAGGACGGCCTCTCCATCGAAGTCCTGAGTGCTCGGATCGTGGTTTGACCCATGGAGCGACCTCACCACCTCAGTGTACTCATTGATGCGGGAGTGGACGCTCGGGTTCGTGTATGTCTCAGGCGGGTCCTCTAGGTTGAAGGAGACGTCGGACGTCGCCTTGCCCTTGTGGGCCATACACCATGCCTAGAAGTCCGAGCAAGGCTGGCCACTATGTGACGTCGACTGCGAGAAAGACAGCATGATGATTAGAAATCAGGCAAAACAGAGCGTCACAATAGATAAACGAATTCGCGTACCCATGCTTGTTTGTATCCGGCGAGGCTGCGGCTGCCTTGATGGTGTGCTGGACCTTGCATCTACAAACGACGGTCCCGGGCATCCCTGTGCATCTTGAGGTACTCCTCCGTGAATCACCTCTCCACCATCATCGCCCAGCACTCGGGATACGCTTGGCACCACCAGGTCCTTGCATATTGGGCATGGGAACTTCCCGTGAACACACCAGGCGTAGAATATCCCATACGCCAGGAAGTTATGCAGGAAGTAGTGGTACCAAACGTGCATTTTAAAGGTTGTCTTTGTAGCTCGATCGTATGTCCATACCCCTTCGTCCCAAGCACGGATCAATTCATCAAACACGGGCTCCATGAACACACCCATATTACTCTCTGGGTGTCCAGGAATTATGAACCACAAGAATACGTTATGTCGTTGAAAGGAGACACCGAGGGGGAGATTAAGGGGGATAACGAAGACGGACCAACAAGAATACGTTATCTGATATCACATGTGGAGATGTCCTGATTTATAAGCATCGTACGTGATAACGTGCACCAAACCATCTCAAATTTTTATCACATCCTCCACATATGATATCATGACATCTCGACAAGTTTCATGATTTTCGCACTTCGTTTGCATTTTATAGAATTTAAAACAATTCGTCCGCAAGTTCATGGTCATGTTTTGTGAACAAGATGTTTGAAATTTCGGGTCTATTCCCGGATACGGCCTCACACTACACTCAATACCATGAATATCATTTTTTAAATCATTAAATTCCATTATTTGATGCACATGCAGTTCAAATTTATATTTTTCAAAAAAATTCAAGTAAACGAAATAAAGTAACTAAATATATCAAAAAATCACAAAAAAATTCTCAAATTCTAACGATGAGTTCCTGGTACTTAAAAAGGACTGCACAAAAAATTTGGAGGCCAAAAACAAAAAAAAACTTTAACGAGCGCCGAGGCATGGCAATCGGCAAAGGGGTCTTTGCCGAGTGCCAAGAATAAGGCGCTCGGCAAAGAGGTTTTTGAATTTTTTTTTAGAAATTTCCTCTTTGCCGAGTGCCTTCACAGGGGCACTCGGCAAAGGAATTTCAAAAAAAAGTAATTTTTTTAATTCCTCTCTTTGTCGAGTGCCGAATCAGTGGGCAAAAATATTGAATCTTTGCCGAGCGCCGTGTCAGGGGCATTCGGCAAAGTATTTTTAAAAAAAAAATCTTTGCCGAGTGCCTAACAGCAGGCACTCGCCAAAGAATGACGTGGCCAAACACCGTTACGCGGGGCAGCCTATGCCGAGTGACGCGCTTTTGCCAAGAGCCTGGCACTCGGCAAAGAAGTCCTTTGCCGAATGCCCTTTTTTACCGAGTGCCCGGCACAATTCTTTGCCGAGTGCGACACTCGGTAAAGAAGGTCTTTGCCGAATGTCCGATTTTTAACATTTGACAAAGCAGTTTGCACTCGGCAAAAGCCCTGTTCCCGTAGTGTACTATTTAAGTGCATTGCCATGTCCTTATAAAACTGTCGTTGCCATATCCTTGGTATATGTTAGTAGTATTATAAAACTGTCGTTAAGAGCAGTAGTGCAACGCCAAGTCATCTCATGCTGCTCGCTGTGGGCCGGATCGGGCATTCAGACCACTGGAATCTATACATAAGACTCTCACGGTATGACCACAAACTAACATGCCCTCAACTTGCTCCGTCATGGAGAATGAAGAGTTTGTAATTAACAACACCTTACAGCTAAGTAACCCATAATGATACGAGCTATAATTTACTATAATGATACGCGTCGGCAGGGGGAGGAGAAGATGAGGCCGCCGCAGGCGTGGTAGGGTCGTGGAGCTCTGGCGGGCGGTGGGCACTGGGCACAGCTCGTCTGGAAGTGGAAGAAGAACAGTGAAGAAAAAACAAGTGCTCCCCACCAGGTAAAATACTCGTGTTGTATAGACGCATCCTTATTTAGTGAAAAATAAGTTTCATGCATGTCTTCCACGCACTTTATCCGTTCCAAATTATAAATCGCTTTAGCTTTTTAGGTACATCTATTTTGTTATACATCTAGATTTAATAATATGTTTAGATGAATAATAAAATGGATGAAACAAAAAAATCAAAACGACTTATAAACGGGTGGAGTACTTGGATGCGCGTACTATACTTGCATGTTTTTGAGGAGGTGGTGGGGAGGCTGATGGAGTTGCACAAGGACGAAGTGACGAGCATCACCGTCGTCGGCCACAGCCTCGGCGCGGCGCTCGCCACCCTGAACGCCGTCGACATCGCTGCCAACGGCCTGAGAACGCGCGCACCTGCCGGCGCCGGCGCCGGCTCCTCCCAGTCCCAGCCGCCGTACGAGCCCGGTGACGGCCATCGTGTTGGCGTGCCCGAACGTCGGGGACCGTTTCTTCAGGGCTGCCTTCGGCTCCTTCCGCGATCTGAGGGCCCTCCACGTGAAGAACTCCTGCGACGTCGTGCCGGTGGTCCCGCCGCTCACGTACGTGGTGCTGCCCATCGACACGGCCCGGTCGCCGTACCTGCGGTCGCCGGGCACGCCGCACACGCTCCACAACCTCGAGTGCTACCTGCACGGCGTCGCTGGCGAGCAGGGCAGCGCCGGAGGGTTCAGGCTGGAGGTGGATCGCGACGTGGCGCTGGTGAACAAGGGCGCTGACGCGCTCAGAGATGAGTACCCGGTGCCGGCGAACTGGTGGGCGCGCCCAGAACAAGTGGATGGTCTGGGGGGCCGACGGCCACTGGATGCTCAGGGACTTCGAGGAAATCTAATTGTATAGATGGATGCCCAACTTAACTAGAGAAAATGAACACATAATAAACTTAAATCACAATTTCCACACCGATGGCATTTTATTTCAATTCCAACCTAATTGTATAGATGGCAGTACTGTTATTCACGCATTCTGTATGACAATATATATGAGCATACTGCATATATATGTTTGTATTCACGAGAGGCAGTTCAAACTTGACTAGACTTGCTTGAAGTCCTGGAGCGTCCAGTGGCCGTCGGTGCCGCGGACCATGCCCTTGTGCTGAGCCGCCCACCACTCCGCCGGCACCGGGTACTCGTCCTTGAGTGCATCGACGCGCTTGTTCACCAGCGCTACGTCGCGGTCCACCTCCAGCCTGAACCCTCCGGCGCTGCCCTGCTCGCCGGCGACGCCGTGCAGGTAGCACTCGAGGTTGTGGAGCGTCTGCAGCGTCCCCGGGTGGCGCAGGTACGGCGACCGGGCCGTGGCGATGGGCAGCGGCACGGCCACGTCGAAGTAGCCGATGGGCGGGTACGTGGGCACGATGTCGCCGGCGTTCTTCACGTGGAGGGCCCTGAGGTCGTGGAACGACCGGAAGGCCTCCCTGAAGGTGAGGTTCCCGACGTGCGGGCTCGCGAACACGACCGCCGTCACCGGGCATGGCGACTGGGAGGAGCTGGAGGGGGCGTTCACGCCGTTGGCGACGATGTCGACGGCGTTCAGGGTGGCGAGCGACGCGCCGAGGCTGTGGCCGGTGATGGTGATGCTCGTCACCTCGTCCTTGTACAACTCCATCAGCCGCCTCACCTCCTCAAGAACCTGTGCACACGTACGTGATAGCAGTTATGCATGGTTGATGGTTCATTAATTAGTTACTAAGATTTTGATTTTGGTAATGTTGTACGCATCGCAATAATGTTAATGGTATATAAAGACTTGGATACTGAGAGACTAGGAATTTGGCAGCCACATGTATTGTTCACGACAGTGAGAGCATAACGGCTTCAACTACTTCCAAATCTTATAAAAAAAAGTACATACTCGTTCGTATGTAACGAAGGGATCGGAAGGTCACTGAAACAACTTATCTATCACACCAGCAAGTATATAATAATATGGGCAAATAATTAAATTGATCCTCAAAGTCAAATGTGTTGTTAGCCAAGTTGAGGCTTTTATTTGTAAAGCCTTAGCTTACCTGTATATAACACGGTTCTATCATCATTTGACTATATACTAGTCTATTAATCCATGCTCATGCGGGCTAGAATCTTAGAAGACGTAAGCATCATTCATATTCTATTCAGTTAGCACCACTGCGGCAGCGAAGCTTGTGCCTGCGCTGCTCCCAATTCTGCTGGCATCGGCAGGAGCGGTGCTCGAAATTTCTCTCTCCATTCGAAGCACTGCTCAAGCGATACACTGCGGAAGGCCTTAGAGCCCACAATGAACTGCTTGTGTCAATCAGGTCCGTAGACTTTAGAATTTATATTTAGGACCTTAATAATAAACTAGCTAGCACCGGGTTTTTGGGTAGGTCCAAACTGTGGTTTATATTTATATATATCCGTGTTTTGTTTTGCTCTTATGTTACTCCTATTTTTCAATATCACTTTCATCCACCGATCAGCTACCGGAGTCGGTAGATAAACAAATGAACAAATATTAGTTGAAGGTTAAAGAAATCAACAAACGCTAGCTGTATAGTTGACATTGTGAAAGGTGTACTAGGTCGTCTGACGGAGACTACATGCATGACGTGTGACGACGACAACATAATTATCCATTCGCGGGTGTCGAATCATGTAGAGGTTCCATTTATGCATGGCAGCTAGTTTCTTCTATCGTAGGAGTAGTAGTACTAATTAATGAAGGAAGTGTTAGACACCTAATCGTAGTTGCCATTTCTTTTTTATATCTCATATTAGTTTTGACCAAGTCAAACGTTAATATGGCCCCATTCGCGTGCTCTTAAACCTGGCTTGATCCGCTTCTTTTTTCATCCGGAACAGTATTTTCCTCTCACAAATTTCTCCAGATTTCTCCAAGCGAACGGGGCCTATCTTTGACCAACCATTTTAAAAGATTATTATAGTTTGACAACATATGAAATATATATTATGAAAGTATTTCTCATGGTGAATCTAAAACATGAATCTATATAAATTTTTTTGAAATTAATGATCAAAGGTATAAATGATTGACTTAGGACAAAGCTAATACGACATACTGTAATAAAAAAACGGAGGGAGTATATTCGTTATCAATCCTCTTGTAGTTAACCAGCGCTAGCACCAATTGGATGGAATTATAGTAATTTATTTACAATGATGAGGTATGGTTAATCATGTGTACAATTAATTTCTTGGTCATCACCTCGTTTAATTACCTAGACGTGGCCGTATCAATTGGGTCGGTCTACATGACACATGGAAAAATAATAATGGATTTTGTTTCAAAAAGGAGTTTGAACTCGGAAAGAAGAAATTAAGCACTACAATGCATCAGCAGCTTAACCAGCAGAAATGCACTTGGCTTAATGTTGTGATTTCTTGAGTTTTTTCTTCTTAATTTATCATCAAAGAGAATCATAACCCATAGTGTGCAACTGCTCATGAGCATGCATTGTCTCTCACAAAAATATAAAGCAAACTAAAATTGCATTCAGGGTATTTCCCTTGTATAAACCATGCATGTTTTAGGCGTTGCTCGGTTTGATGGGGATTGAAGTCAAAATCCCCCTCAATTCTCTTCGGACCTCTCCAGTTCTCTTTGCTTTATATGGATGGCCCTTTACTTTTAGGCTTGGTCTTAATTAAAGATGTTTGAGAACTTTGTGTCCTTTTGTATGCTAAACCTTGTAATAAGCTTGATCTGATTCCTCTAGTAAGTGGATAAAACCGGATGCTATTTCCTTTATCTAAAAAAAATATGATATAATGATGTGCAATTCTTTGTGTTAGAGAAAAAGTTGTAGAGGGAGTCAAAGTTAATCATCCTGCATTACATTTATTTAGAGGTTGCCCAAGTTAGGGTTTGTAGCATGTGCCTATTTAAGTTGGACCAAAACAGCTTTGCATGATGAGAACCAGACGACCGTGTAAGGAATAAGGATATTTGGACACTTTGAACAAGTCTAAATAAAACCGATAGCTAATGCACACACAGACACAGTCGCAGAACAAATATTCACCATGTTCTGCTCATCTACTTTTCAGCCGGCTTGTGCTTATTTCGGCTTATTCTCTCACACACTATTGAATCAGCCGAAATACCACCAGCAGAATTACTTTTTCGTCGAATCATTGGTTCCTATATATTTTCAAGAAAGTTTGGTTTCCATTTCTCTAAAATATATCTCTGCAGGTTCAAAGTTAGATACAACTAACAAATGTTTAAAACATTAATGAATATATAAATATTCTTCTGGATATATATGAATATTGTTGAGAAGATATTGACTGCTTGCCTGGTCTCTGGCGCTGGCCTTGTTGAACTTGGAGTTGGCGTTTCTGGACGTGTACACGGACAGGAATCCCCTGTGCACCATCGCGAGGGGATGCGCCGCCGCCGCCGCCGTGCCCAGCACGGGCGTGGCAGACGCCGGCGTGAAGTGGAGGTCGTTGACCCACTCCAGGCTCCGTATGGTCCCGCGCCACGCCACCACGACGTCGCGCCGCCCGAGCCTGGCCGCGCCCTCGTCGGTGGCCACCGCGACGTACCCCATCCAGTTGGACTCCCTGCACCACGCGGCGTCCTCCAGCGCCGGCAGCGGCCGGAACAGGAACGCGTCGGGCACGGGCAGCGCCGACGTGGCGTACACGAACTTGGTGACGGCGTAGTCGGCCGCGGCGGACGCGCCCGAGGCGGCCAGCAGGTCGGCGCGCCCGTGCAAGCACGCGCCGGCGTGCGGTGACCGCTTCTCCCGGTTGAACCCGTCGTAGGTGGCCTGCGCGAGCTCGCCGTAGGCGATGATGGACCGGCGGAGGTCCATGTCCAGCGGGTCCAGGAGACCCTTCCACGAGTTCTTGCCATGGAGCTCGCGCCACCGGCTGGCTATGCTTCGTAGTGCCGACATCGTCGATCGACGGCGAGGACTTGTTGGCGCTGCCGTTGGTTTTATCAAATGGCCTTGGCTTACACGAACGCACACACGACACGCCGTGGCTATAGCTAAGCTACTGTTTATATAGCACTACATGCAGACGCAGGTCGCTGCTTCGACGTGGTTTCCTTCTAATTATCTATACTTATACTTATTCATTTGTTGGATCACCAACGTCAATGTAACTCTGTCTAAAACAGACCATGCCGACAGGTTTGAACAATTTATATATCTGTCGATAAAAAATACTACCTCTGTCTTTGAATACAAGGTATCATAAATATTTTTAACAAATATTATGTGGTAAAAGGAAAATGACACATGCAATTAACTCTTCCTAGGGGTGTTTGAACTGCTTCGCTCTATGTTTTTTTTAGCTGCGTTCCACGTTTCTCAGTTAAACAGGATCAGCTCCACGTAACTCCGCTCCAGGAAAAAATATGGAGTTATGAGAGCACCTAGAGAGGTGCTCCACAAACTCTATTTTTTTATGGAGCTGTTCCACGGTGGAGTTTGTGAAGCAGAGTTCGTGGAGCAATCTCAAACATCCCCTTAATTACAGGAAGATATTGTGATTATCATTTTTTTCGAATTACATGAGTAGCAGACGCTCGACTTGCACACACACTTACCCCTATAAACACACGTACGTAAACCCTACCTCTATGAGCACCTCCGAAAGACTGTGCCAGCACATCTCGAGATTGACGATGTCACATAGGTTTCTCGTTGTCGACGTGAACATCGCCTGCCACTGAAAGCACAATACCATTAAATCCTAGAATAAATCAAAAAAATGCGAGCACCGTGCCAAATCGAGGATTTGAACCCGGGTAGACAGGTTCTATCACAAAGAACATAACCAACTGAGCTAGACTTAGTTTGCATTGTGATTAGGCCAACAACGTTTCATGCCACA